CTTTGCTCTTCCCTCTGCCTGTGAGTTGGCATCTTTTGTTAATCAAGAATCCTGGGAGTACATTAGGTGCTTAATAAAATTTGTTCTTTAAGTAGAGCAATCATATTATTTCTGTAGAGGTGTGATAGGCAGAATAATCCCTCCACCCAAATTTGTCTGTGTTCTAACCACCCATGGAAACTGTGAATATGTTACGTTACATGGCAAAGAGACTTTTTAGTTAAGTTAAGGACCTTCAAGTAAAGAGATTATCCTGGATTATCTGGGTAGGTCTGATGTAATCATGACTCTCCTTAAAATAGAGAGAGGTGACAAGGAAAGCAGAGAATCGAAGTGGGGTGTGAGAAAGACTCCACCAGTCACAGCTGGCTTCAAAGATGGAGACATGGGATGATGAACCAAGGATGCGGGTGAACTCTGAAAGCTAGCAAAGGCAAGAAAGGGATTCTGCCCTAGAGTGTTCAGAAGGAACACAGCCCTACCAACACCTTAAATTTAGCCCAGTGAAATCCATTTCAACCTGCTGATCTCCAGAACTGTAAGATAATAAATTTGTGTTGTTTTAATCCACTGAAAATTTGGTTATTTGTTATAGCAGGCATATGAAACTAATACAGCAGTATTTTGTCATTTTCCCTTGTACCTAATGTGATAACAAACAGACAGCATTTATTCTTTAATGAAAATGAGTAAGATATTTAAGACTTGTCACTTTCTGGATTTTACGTTATGAAATTCAGTCTGAGGTGTTCCATAGTAATATTTCTGAACATCTGAGATATATTTAAGAATATATAGTATAATACGGGAACTTTTATTTGGGACTAGGAGTTGCAACAGAGAAAAATTACTTTTCCAATAAATCAATGGACTTGAAGAGTCTATTTATTTTGCCATCAGTCCAATTACCTTTCTGTTCTTCTGCAGTCTACTCACAAAACTCGATTATTGACGCTGGCTCAGATCCTTCTCTTTCCTCAGTGGCTGCTGCCTTAGCCCCTCGTGCTCTGTCATCTTCTCAGGCTTGATGTTCACAAACTGTGCAACTCAGCCAGGACTGCAGTATGTACAGAGCTAACTGGCTGAGGAACACGGGGAAAATATTTTGGTTACCTCATTCTCTGCATTAAAATTTCAATATGCTCAATGCTTTTTAGTTTACAAAGTATGTAATTTCATTTAATCTTCACAATAACTTGGTGAAGGACGTATTATTGCCTTCATTTTACAGTTGAGAAACCTAAAAGTTAAGAGCAGTTTCCAGGTAGTGGATGACAGAAAGGAGGTTTGAACAAAAATCTCTTAATTTCTTACTCAGTTATAAAACTAATGCAATTAATTTTACTGTATTACAGCTGTCCTCGCCATTTTACCTCAGTGCCATTATTCCAGATATACATTTTGTAAGTGTATTTTCAACGATGACATAGCTTGTGCACGTTATAAAATAATGTGAAAACACAGAAATAGAAGAAATGTTTTAAATCTTCCTTAATCTTACTACTCAAAGATAACCACTGTTACTGTTTTGGTGTATTTCTTTCCAAATATTTTTCTGTACATTCATCCAAGTATATTTCTTTAGATGTACTTTTATTTGGAGTTTTATATCCCATTCCGTTTTTATTATTTTGAATGAAGTGAGTTGGCATTCTAGTCTTATTTTATTTAAAATTTTACTGCGTTGCCTTTCAGTGACGTATTTTTCCTATTTATATTTAGGGAGAAATAAAGAATTAGTGCACCCTTCTTGTGTTAACCTTTTTTCTGGATTAGAGCCGTGCTTCTCAAAATGCAGGCAGGACCTGAAGCATCGGCATCACTTGGGAGCTTGTTAGAAGGGCAAATTCTCTACTGAGTCAGAATCTTCGGGGTGAGGCCTGGGAATCCCTGTTTTAACAAGCTCTCCAGGTGATTTTCACACATGGTAAAGTTTGGACTAAAGTATTTGGTTTTCCATTTGTATTGATGAGGCCAAAGCAGCTAGTAGGCCTGCCGTAGGTTAAAGACAAACAAAATAATTGTCATACTTTGAAAAAAAAGAGAACTTCTTGCTTACCCATATTTCCCTCATCCACCTGCCTTCAATATCTACTCTTAGTCAATTACTTGGGTTAAGGTCTGTAGCCCTCTTTAAATGCCTATATGCTTGCTTAGAAATGGAATCATTACCTACCCCTCTCACCATCCAATCATGCTTTCATATTCGATGCCTCTGCTGGTTAGCCACCTAATCATTCACTCATCAAAATCAGAATAGGATGAAGAACAGGTACATTTTAAGTTTCGTTCTGACAGCTTTTCTTAAACATCTACCATGTTAGATTATATGCAGTAGGGAAGAAAAACACATTTTCTAGACCCTTCCCTCAAGATAATTCACAATCTTACTAGGAAATAAAATTTTGATATATGAAATTCAATTAACGGCAGTCAACCAAATCCTAAATTGACTATAATCAAGTATTATAGTACACAAGATGAGTAGTGAAGGCCCTGGACTGTTCAGAAGGATAGACAGGTAGACCAGGGAAGCTCTTCTTAAGGAAGGAGGCATGTGAGGGGGGCCTAAATATTAATTATTATATTAATAGTAAAACCCTAACTATTAAATGTTTACCGTGGGTCCGACACATGCAGTTTTAAGCAATTGATGTTGATTATTTCCTCCAATTCTCATAACACCATTATAATATACCTGTGATTGCTATTTTCCAGACAAGTCAAATGAAGTTGAGTAACTTTCCCAATGTTGTATAAATAGTGCTTTCTGGGGCCAGAATTTCAAGTCAAGTCTGTTGGACTGCAGAGCCCAGTTTCTCACCACTTATCCTTAGCAGTTCACTCTGATCAAGAGGGTTTATGGATGGAGAAAGAGGCTTGAAGTACATTCCAGATAAAGGCAACCCCAGTTCAGGAGAGCAAGCTCCTGTGTCAGATTCATGTGACCAGACTCAGGGCTCATGTTGGCAAATTGCTAAAGTCCAGAGAGATCTGTTAGGATTATGGAAGGTCTTGCGTGCATAGATGGTGATCTGGGATAGAATATCATAGATACTAAAGAACCATTACACATTTTTGAACATAATGAAAGTAATGTTTTAGGACAAGACTAACATTGAATAAAAAAGCATAATTTGGTGGGACGTGAACAGATATTTTGGTACGACAGCCAATAAATAGGGCAATTTTTGTAAACCAAATCCAAGATGATAAGGATGACTGGGGTGTTGACAGAGGGAAAAAAGAATGACTCATTATTAAATATTAGAAGAGAAAGTTAAAAGGTGTTAATGGCAGATTGGCTGAAGGGACTAAGAAAAAAACTTTAGAATTTGAATCTGATACTCTGGATGATTTTGAACTATACACAAAAATTGTAGTAATCTGGAGAGAGATTGTCAAAAGTTAATAGAGCAGCCACCTCCTCTTCCAATAGCACTTTGTGCTTGAGCAGTACCCAAATAGTGAGTGAACAAACCCTCCTCCAAAGGTCCCTAAACTGTGTTGTTCACAGCTGCATTCCTGTTGCCTAATCCACTGCTCGACGTTTCATAGGTACTCAATAACTCTGTGCAGGAGGAAGGACAGAGGGAGGGGAGGAAAGCAGGATTAAGTAAATCAAAGAATTTTAGAATTGTTTCAGTTTAGTGTGTTGCTGTTGAAATGAAACAGAATTTAAGGTCTAACATCTTTGGAGAGAGGAAACCATGGAAAGCCAAAGGGAAGCACAGAGAACGTGGAAGAGGAAGGAAGAAAGGGGAGGCTGAGAATCAGACCTCCTCCTTAATAATTCAACAGACAACAGGAGCATGAATTCAAGTGCACTTTACCAAAAGACCCCACTACTTGTATATCAGATAGGTAGATTTTTACCAAAAATAGTTGTTCGTTTTGGATAGAGACCTTTCAAATTCATCATAGGTGTCAATGGTGGAGCTGTTTAAAAAGTTTTCTCAAGACAGCCCTGATGGCCTAATGGTTAAAGTTTGGGGCCCTCCACTTCACTAGCCCAGGTTCCCTTTCCAGGTGCGGAACCACAGCACTCGTCTGTCAGTAGCCATGCTATGGTGGCAGCTCACATAGAAGAACTGGAGGGACTTGCAACTACAATGTGCAACTGTGTACTTGGGCTTTGGGGAAGAAGAAGAAAAAGGAGGATTGGCAACAGATGTTAGCTCAAGGCAAATCTTTCCTGGCAAAAAGAAAAAAGAAAAAGAATCCTGAAAAAAATTTTTGCAATAGTGTTTTAGAAGTTCTGACTGCAAAGGAGATATGTAAATGTCCATTTTGTACTTCTGAAAACAGGTGCAGTCTCTGCGAGAAAAAAACAAATGTGTCAGAAGCATGGGAACAAAAAGGAAAACAATGAAAAAGAACCTATGCTTAATTTAATTACATTGATTTAGCTTTCTACACAAACTAGATTTGATGTAATTAAAACACCTGTAACAAATAAAATGAAGGAAGGACATCCTTTTTCCTGAGATAAAGGAAGATTTGAAATCCCATGCTATTTGCAGGAAATTTATACTATCTATGCAAAAAAGTGTGTGTGTGAGAGAGAGAGAGAAAGAGAGATTTTCTCTGATCACTTAGTTGATAGCCCAACAACGCAGGCAATATTTATGGCCTTTCAAACTAACCTCCCTTACAGTGAGGAGGTGCTGTCTATAAATCACTATAGATTAAATATTTTTTTCAGCGAGCATGAGCCCAATGCAATAAACATTACACTTATTTAACAATTTGTTGATTGTTTTAGACTTTTCTCCAACTATAAAGCCATAGAAGGAATTTGCTATATTTATGTATTAGATCGGAAATGTTTATAGAGTAAGAACCAAAACATGAATTTAAATGTGAAGAAAAAGAATGCTCGTTCCAACAAGAGGACACACTCCTAAACAACAGTTTGCCAGCATTTGATGTGTTACTGGGGCATTTATCAGGAGAGCCATGTGTTTCGTGCTGTGCTCATGCAGGATCTTTCATTCCAGCTATCTACGAGCCTTCCTGCGAAGCATACAAACACCTAGGCCAGACGTCAAACTACTACTGGATAGATCCTGATGGCAGCGGACCTCTGGGGCCTCTGAAAGTTTACTGCAACATGACAGGTAACTCTGTCATATTTCTGTTTCATGAACATTGCTTTTCTATATGTTGAGAATAAATAGTGCCACTGAAGTTTGTTTCGTCTGTGCTTTATTCTTATCACAACATGTGATAAGCTAAGTATTGGGGAATTTGTTAGGTAAAATGGTGAAATGTATTTCTAAAGCAATAAAACCTTCCAACATTGTATTTTTTTAATACCTACCTTCTGACTTGAAGTTAATAATAGCATTTTAAAAAATCAGTGCGTAGGGGGAAAACCCAGAAAGTGGAATTGCAAGGTTGAAGTCTACAAAAAGAACTGGCCGCTTAAGCAGCCTCCGCGAGTGACCTAGACAGGGAAATTTAGTGTCACTGCTCAACTGTCTGCATTGCCCATGTCTGAGGAAGCTTATAAACCACTCCAGACCCTCCTTGGTTCCCCATGGTTACAGAAGGAGGTTTTCTGGGTACTGAAATGCCTTTCTGACACTAGTAAAACTTACCTTCCACTTTCATGAAATTTATCTGGGGTTTTCTGCTTGAGAAGAGAAGCTAGTTTTTCTTCCCTTCTATATTAAATTTCAGGGCTACGAAATGAGATTGTGGTTTCCTATAAACTCCCCCAGCAGTGCGTAAGATGTAGAGATCTCTAAAGTAAGAACGTATTTTCCGTCCGGTACTTGGCAATGTCTTACCCTCCAAAAACCTGGAGAAGAGTGTGAGGCATTGCATTGTTGTTTACTGGCTCCAGGAGAGGATCAGCATTTGCTATGAACTCCTGTGGCTATGATGATAAGGATAATGATTATAGGATGTCATTGATGAGGAGTGCTACATGGCCTGTTTACCATGTATCAGGTACCATGATAAATTCTTTACTCAGACTACCTGGGTTTGTATCCTGGCTCCATTAGTCACCAGATGTATAATTTTGGGTACCTTATCAACTTTAATAAATTGAATAAGCCTCAGTATGTTTATCTGTAAAATAGATGAATAATAATATCTACTTTATAGCATTATTATATGAATGAAATGAGATAATCTACATATCTTAGCATATTGTTTAATGCGTAGTAAGCTTTCAGTAAAGGTTACCCAGGAGTAAAGTATTATTATTATTATTTTTTAAAGGATTAGAGAGTTAACTTGCTTATATCATTCAGGCAAGATTCAAATTCAAATCTGTTTGAGGCCAGTCATTCTTAAATCTGGTTATGCTTCAGAATCATTTATGGAGGATTTTTTTCTTTTCCATACTAACTTATTGGCTCCACCCCTGGAGACTTTGGATCAGTAGGTGTGAAGTGGAAGTAGGTTTGTGCAACAGAACTGAGAACGCTAAACAGTGCCGTAGGCCAGCAGACCCCAGCGGAGAATGTTCAGCAATGTCAGGAAGCCAGGCACGGCACAGGACGGAAGAGAGAATGATGAGGACACGAGTATAGTAGGGAAAGGGTGTAGAGAAAATGGTGAAATGGGGTCTGTCATCCCTAAAATATCCTCCCACGCCAAGAACTCTAAGAGTGTCCCAGAGGAGGAACCTACTCACCAGAAACCTTGATCTGAGAGCTCACTGACGGTTGGACTCGTCAATGCACTCGGGGGCTTTCTTGTTAACGTTCATTTTATTCTTATTGAACTAAAGTATAATCTATGAGAAATTGATTTAATCTATAAGAATCTTGATTTTGGTTTCTCCTTATATATATATATATATATATATATATATATATATATATATATATATACACACACACACACATACAGGGAGATACATATGTATAATATATATATATATATATATATATTACAATTAAAGTCAACTATTAACTTCAAGGGAAATCAGGGTATCCCAACTAGGCTTGGAGAAGTAAGAATTTACTTTAGTTATTTTCCTATATTCATCTCAAAGGAGAATTAGAAAATAAAACCATAATGTATGCAGTCTTCATGTGAAAAACACACAAAATGAAGGGCTGGTTTACTTCCTGTGACTTGAAGCCTGCACTCAGAAACATAGATTTCATCTTCATTGATATCTCCCTTAAAGAGCAGGACTACAGTTTAACCCAATACTCTAGATGAGTCTGAGCAGTGACGAGTTGAGTATAACTTTCTGCTGTTAGAATATTCTGCTTCGATCATTCAAGACAGTTATGGGCATCGGTATGTCAGGGACCCTTGAAGGCCAGCAGGCAATCTTTGGTCTTTTCTCACCCATTAACCCTTCCTTCATCTGGAAAGAACATGAACTTGACATCATTAGAAGAGCATGGTACCACAAAGCTTGGCTAGGGCTGTTCCATTTCCAAGGGATATATGTTGAAGAAGAAGAGAGGACAGCACGAGACATTCTATGAAGTCTTGCTGTATCACACTATGTCATGAGAAAGGGGATATGTGCCTTACTTTCTAGCACTTCTGTTAAAGAATAGAGCTGCCACACTTCTCAGTGACCCACATGTAATTGGGTGTTATCACTGTTGAATATATCACATATTTTAAAAATGGGAGCAAGACATCTTCTCTGGGGAAGAAGCAATGTCTGGGGAATGCTCAACCTCTTTTTATTTCTTCTTACTAGGATAGGGTGTGATGCGGAAAAGCTTTTCATTTGTGCAGACATAGTGAAAATTCAAGAAAAGAGACTTTGCTGGCAGGTAATATCTGATGTAAACTTGGGCAGAAACCAAAAACACTCGGTTGAAAATCACTTCTTATTTAGATCTATTCTTTGGAATCCTAAGCTTTTTTTTTTTTCTTTAAAGATATAATTTGAACCCAAATCTTGTGGGGGTTTTTCTTTCTTTTCTTTTCTTTCTTTTTTTTTTTTTTTGTGAGGAAGATTGGCCCTGAGCTAACTTCTGTTGCCAATCTTCCTCTTTTTTTTTCCTCCCCAAAGCCCCAGTACATAATTGTATATCCTAGTTGTATGGCCTTCTAGTTCTTCTTTGTGGGACACCACCTTAGCGTAGCTTGATGAGCAGTGGATAGGTCCGTGCCCAGGATCCAAATTGGTGAACCTTGGGCCACTGAAGCGGAGTGCACAAACTTAACCACTACACCACTGGGCCAGCCTCTGGAACCCTAAGGTTTTAATTCACTTACTAATTAAAAAAAATGGAACAAACAAAATGAAAACACAATTAATTTAGGGCCTGGCAAGAAGAAGGGGGTCTCCTCTGATTTTTTGGACAAGAAATTCATTCAAATAATGGTTACCACACTACTGTCAACTAATATGTCCAAGTTTTAGTTCTTTGTTTAACTTTATCAAATAAGTAAAGTGTCCCTCATCTTATCCTTATGATGTTTCATGTTGAATCATAAGGGAAGACTTGAAGTTTTTCCCTTCTTGAATATTTTATTGTTGAATTCAGTCAAAAATTTTAACCTATTGATATCTCTCGGTCCCCTCAGATAACTGTTACATTCTCAACTTCTCTTCCACAGTACTTCTTGAAAATCATGTTTTTATTTGTTTGTTTCTTCTTTTCTCCCCAAAGCCCCAGTACGTAGCTGTATATCCCAGTTGTAAGTCATTCTAGTTTCTCTGTGCAGGAGGCCACCGCAGCATGGCTCGATGAGCAGTGTGCAGATCTATGCCCAGGATCTGAACCTGTGAACCCTGGGCTGCTGGAGCAGAGCACGTGAACTCAACCACTCGGCCATGGGGTCAGGTCCCCCCATATTTTCTTACTGCCCTTACCTCCAGACCAGCTGTCAGCAGGCTGCTAGATAAAGGCTCCTAATATAGCACTGTGATCATGTGACATCCCTGCTCCACACTAACTGCTGAATGATGGGAAAGGGCCTCAACTTAGCATTCAGCTTTCTTCACATTTAACACAAACAAACTTTCTAGCGCTCCCCTTTTTCCACCCTGTGTCCTTGGGACTTCATTCCCCAAATACGCTTTGCCCTGTTTCACACTAAATTTCACGCCATTTTCCCTGTCTACAATATCATTTCTTGAAACTCTCTTTGGAAACTTACTTATCTCTCAAAAGTTGTCTTGAATCCTAAACTTTTTCATGAAGCTCTTCCTCATCTTCAATATACCCTTTACCACTGAACCACCTTTTCAACTCTGATCAATCAGACTCTTCCCTCTTATCAATCCTCATGGAATTGTGGGGTTTTTTCCACTTCTATGTCACTTAGTGCATTTTCTTCGCATTTTGGTTACTTGTATAAGTACCTTGTACTAGTTTCTTAAGGCTACCATAACAAATTACCACAAACCAGGTGACTCGAAACAACAGAAATTTATTCTGTTGCAGTAACTGAGGCCAGAAGTCTGAAACCACAGTGTAGGCAGGGCCACGCTGCCCCTAAAGGCTTTAGGGAAGAAGGGTGATTGCTGACAATCCTTGATATTCCTTGGCTCATAGATGCCTCCCTCTAATCTCTGGCTCTGTCATCACATGACGTTATTCCCTGTGTGTCTTCTCTGTGTCTTCACATGGCTTTCCATAAGGACACCAGTCATTGGATTTAGGGCCCACATTCATCCAGTATGATGTCATCTTAATTAATTACATTTGTAAAGACCATATTTTCAAATAAGGTCACGTTCTGAGGTTCCAGGCAGACATGAATTTTGGGGAGAGACATCCAACCCAGTACATACCTTATCTCCCCAAATTCAGTTATCAGCTCCTCCAAAGAGCTTACATTTTTCTATCTATGGAGAACACGAAAATATACACTATATTATTTATGGAGTATTTTAAAGTCTTGAGTCTGTCATCTGTGGTATTATGGGTTGAGTTGTGTCTCCCAAAAAGATATGTTTACATCCTGCCTCTCAGTAACTCAGAATGTGACTTTATTTGCAAATAGAATCATTGCAGATAGAACTAGTTAAGATGAGATCACATCAGAGTACGGTCCTTAATCCAATATGACTGGTGTCCTTGTAAGAAGAGGGAAATTTGGACACAGACACACACACAAGGAAGAAGGCCGTGTGAAGACGGAGGCAGAAATTGAAGTTATTCTGACGTAGACCAAG